GGCACAAAAGTGCAGGGCAGAAAAGTTACCTTAGTATTAATTTGACACATCAATGTTATGTCATAACAAACAGAGGGAGCTGTTGCAACTGTTAAGAAATTCGAGGGAGACAACTTCGCAAAAAAAAACCCTCAAAACACTCAACAGTCTTGGCTTCAGATTTTGACTTCTTTTCCACCTTGTCAGCGCTTATGATGCAATATGAGCAGGTTGCAAGGGGATGTGGAGGTGGTACAGTTTGGTGTCTGGGATTATGGTGTTGAATGCTGAGCTGTAGTCCATGAAGAACATCCTCACATAACTCTTCCTGTTCTCCATTTGGTTCAACACTTTGTGAAGGGTGACAGTATCCTCTGTGGACAGGTTTGCTCTATAAGCAAAATGGTAGGGGTCGAGAGAGGGATGTAAGCAGTCTCTGATGTGCTGTGATACCATCTGTTTAAAACACTTCAGGATTACAGACTTGAGGCCTATGGGTATGTAGTCATTGAGGCTGTCTATATCAGTCTTTTTGAGGATGGGAATGATGGTGGAGACCTTCAGACAGTTGGGAACGGTGGCATTAGTCAGGCAGAGGTTGAACAGCCTGGTGAGGATCCCTGACAGTTGATGCGCGCAGGGTTGACCACAGATCCTTGGACCCAAACCAAGCAAAGAAGGTGTTGAGCGCTTCTCCTAGTTTGTAACAGTATCAATAGCTCATCAGACACAGGTGGGTGACAATTCTCAGGGGTGCCGGGCACGGACTCGGAATGAATGCCACCCATGACATGAACACAGAGTGAGCAAGTGAGAGACCCTGGCAGCACTCAGGGAAGGCTGGGGGACAGTTTGTGTCTTTGTGTCTGTCTGCTTCCCGTTTTATTTCGGTGGTCTCTCTGTCTGGGTCAACTTTGCTAGCAAGAGATAGAGAAGTGTTGAAAGGCTGCTCCAACGGAACTAATTCGTTCGGAGAAAAACACGAACACAGTATACAGTCGAGTCTTATTTCTTCACGTCATTAGGCCACAAATAGAGGTGACATGAGCCACATGATTGAGACACAGGCATTAGAGCCTCTTATTGCGTGTTTCGTTTGGGTTTCCAGCAATGCGTGAAATTGCCAAAGATAGAGAGGGCATAGCCTAACATATGAAACAGGAAAAGACCGCTGTGTAATCCATTTATTGCAAGAAAGTAACCCCCCCTCCAGGGGCAAGGGTACCTAGACCCGGTTCGCAGAGTACGCTTGGGGAGTGTGATCGTGTGTACAGCATCTCTTTATGTCTGTCTCCACGTTGGTTGAGTGTGGAGT